TTTCCGCATTTATTATTAATTGCGCTGCCAAAAGCGCCTTCTTTGAAATCAGCATGGTGTTGCTTCACAGTTTTTATAATGTTTATATTATTATCACATTAATACATTAAAAAAATAAATATCAATTTTGAATTATTTAATCGTATATAACAGGTAATTAATTCAAAAGATTTTAATAATTTAAGTCAAAGTAAATGTTTTAGTGTAAAATAATTTGAAAAATTTTACTCTGTACAGATATAAACAACTAACAAATACGTAGCGTCAATTAGAAAAATTTTTTATTTTTGACTGAATAAAAATTATTAATAAAAATTATTAATTATTTTTATTACAGAAATTATTAATAATTTTTTATCAGATTATTGTTAGTAATATACAAATGTCGGTTTAGATTTAAAAATTATATCATACCTTTAATTGCATTCACAACTTTTGGATCGAGTGCTTGATATTTTTGAGCCTCTCATCTGTATTTTTTGATTTGCCTCCTTTGTAGTTACTATTAATTAATAATATTTTAGGAGAAAACGTTGAAACAAGCAATGAGGTTGCCATTGATGTAAATGAATTTTTTCTTTTTGCATCTCTCCACTGATCATCAGTAATGAAAACATTCGATCCTTCGTACCCGAGTTCCTGTCATTTTAATATTAATATAAAAATAATTTTATTGATTTAAATAATTATAGTAGTACAACTTGTTATTTGATAAGATTAAAATTCATTTTTAATTATGTTCTTATTATTAAGACTAAATTATACATACGTACCACTTTTTTTTCTTTTGTTTTAAATTTTTTAGTTTTGGATGAAGAAACACCTGCTTCTTGAGGAACTTGATAATATTGTTTCATTTTTGCCAGTGCTACAAATAAAGTAAAATTGTATTTATGATTTTTTCTTAATATTTTTTAATTTTCATCGTTATACCTTTCTCTAAATCTTCTTTGGTTATAAATTGCGGAGCCTCACTGGATGTTGATGGATTTTGAAAACCTCCAAGTTGCTGACTTACGGAACTCTTCTAGGTGACAAAATAAAATTCATCATTTAATCATTTTTTTTTTTTTTTTTATAATTTAAAGTAAAAAAATATTTCCCTTAGTAACTTTATAACTCTTCACAGCTTATACATGCAATATTTATTTTATTCTAAGATACTTACAGCACCTGTCAAATTTAATGTACTTGTTGTATCATCTTCTTTTTTATCTGCGTCAGAGTCTAATGAAAATCTTAATTTTTTTCTAGCATTTTCATCATTTTCACGATTTTCAGGCTCAAGAGTATTATTATTAATGATCTCAACTTCTTCTTCTTCTTCATGTAAGACCTGAATGTCGTCTTCATGAGAAGTTGAAATTAATAATAATTCAGGTTTAGGAGAAGGCCCGGGCGACTTGATACCCTCAAGAGCTTCAAGTTTTTTCTCTAAAGCTGGTATTGAATCTAAAATAATTAAATATTATTTAATGATTATGTCCTTATACTGAACTACATAGTTTTATTTTTTAAATAATACAAAAAATTCTTACGAGAAATGTCAATAATTATGGCATTGTAACATTTCCAACCACCTAAAGGCTCTTTTACTGTATCTCTCCACTCAATTACATATACAGTTTTTGGATCGTGGTTTTCATCCAAAAAATTATTAACATCGAAATCTTTAATATGACGTATATCTATGCCGGATGTCATTTTCTTATTATCTTCTCCTCCTATCCACTTCACCAAGGCCCACCATCTATCACTAAGAAATCAAATTTTCCAATTGATTAATTTTATTCATAAATTTACGGATTGAAAAACAATCAATTTATATTTCTATAAGAGAAAAATAATCTTATCTATAATTTAAGATATAATTTCGATAGTAAAATTAACAAACATCTGACAGAGAGTATAATTTTTCTTAAAAAACAAATTATTTAAAATAAAGTTTTTAAAAATTTTTAAAAACTTTATTTTAAATAATTTGTTTTTTAAGAAAAATTATACTCTCTGTCAGATGTTTGTTAATTTTACTATCGAAATTATATCTTAAATTATAGATAAGATTATTTTTCTCTTATAGAAATATAAATTGATTGTTTTTCAATCCGTAAATTTATGAATAAAATTAATCAATTGGAAAATTTGATTTCTTAGTGATAGATGGTGGGCCTTGGTGAAGTGGATAGGAGGAGAAGATAATAAGAAAATGACATCCGGCATAGATATACGTCATATTAAAGATTTCGATGTTAATAATTTTTTGGATGAAAACCACGATCCAAAAACTGTATATGTAATTGAGTGGAGAGATACAGTAAAAGAGCCTTTAGGTGGTTGGAAATGTTACAATGCCATAATTATTGACATTTCTCGTAAGAATTTTTTGTATTATTTAAAAAATAAAACTATGTAGTTCAGTATAAGGACATAATCATTAAATAATATTTAATTATTTTAGATTCAATACCAGCTTTAGAGAAAAAACTTGAAGCTCTTGAGGGTATCAAGTCGCCCGGGCCTTCTCCTAAACCTGAATTATTATTAATTTCAACTTCTCATGAAGACGACATTCAGGTCTTACATGAAGAAGAAGAAGAAGTTGAGATCATTAATAATAATACTCTTGAGCCTGAAAATCGTGAAAATGATGAAAATGCTAGAAAAAAATTAAGATTTTCATTAGACTCTGACGCAGATAAAAAAGAAGATGATACAACAAGTACATTAAATTTGACAGGTGCTGTAAGTATCTTAGAATAAAATAAATATTGCATGTATAAGCTGTGAAGAGTTATAAAGTTACTAAGGGAAATATTTTTTTACTTTAAATTATAAAAAAAAAAAAAAAATGATTAAATGATGAATTTTATTTTGTCACCTAGAAGAGTTCCGTAAGTCAGCAACTTGGAGGTTTTCAAAATCCATCAACATCCAGTGAGGCTCCGCAATTTATAACCAAAGAAGATTTAGAGAAAGGTATAACGATGAAAATTAAAAAATATTAAGAAAAAATCATAAATACAATTTTACTTTATTTGTAGCACTGGCAAAAATGAAACAATATTATCAAGTTCCTCAAGAAGCAGGTGTTTCTTCATCCAAAACTAAAAAATTTAAAACAAAAGAAAAAAAAGTGGTACGTATGTATAATTTAGTCTTAATAATAAGAACATAATTAAAAATGAATTTTAATCTTATCAAATAACAAGTTGTACTACTATAATTATTTAAATCAATAAAATTATTTTTATATTAATATTAAAATGACAGGAACTCGGGTACGAAGGATCGAATGTTTTCATTACTGATGATCAGTGGAGAGATGCAAAAAGAAAAAATTCATTTACATCAATGGCAACCTCATTGCTTGTTTCAACGTTTTCTCCTAAAATATTATTATTTAATAGTAACTACAAAGGAGGCAAATCAAAAAATACAGATGAGAGGCTCAAAAATATCAAGCACTCGATCCAAAAGTTGTGAATGCAATTAAAGGTATGATATAATTTTTAAATCTAAACCGACATTTGTATATTACTAACAATAATCTGATAAAAAATTATTAATAATTTCTGTAATAAAAATAATTAATAATTTTTATTAATAATTTTTATTCAGTCAAAAATAAAAAATTTTTCTAATTGACGCTACGTATTTGTTAGTTGTTTATATCTGTACAGAGTAAAATTTTTCAAATTATTTTACACTAAAACATTTACTTTGACTTAAATTATTAAAATCTTTTGAATTAATTACCTGTTATATACGATTAAATAATTCAAAATTGATATTTATTTTTTTAATGTATTAATGTGATAATAATATAAACATTATAGGTAGTCCGATGCTTCTCAGGAAAACCTACGCAGCATGCGGCCTAATACCAGACCACATCATGTCCAGTACTCAAGTACAATAAAAACCGTCATCGATTCGATAATTTACTTAATTAAATATAAACATTATAGAAACTGTGAAGCAACACCATGCTGATTTCAAAGAAGGCGCTTTTGGCAGCGCAATTAATAATAAATGCGGAAAGTTAAGGTGTGAAAAAAAAGCTAACGATAAAAAAGTACGTATTGATTGTAATATATGTCATTTTTATTTAAAAATAATAATCATATATTTGTTTGTTTCAGAAAAATAACAATCCGAACGATAATAATGAAAAAGAAGATTAGCTTTATTCGTTATATTATTTTTTTTTAACATTAAAAAAATTTTATTATTCTTACTTATATAACTTCAACTAATTTTAAAAAGTTCAAAATTACAGTTAAACATATATTATTTTATAATTATTATTTAATTTTAAAACTACTTCTAAAGCATTATTTAAAAATATTCTGATGCATCATTATGTACAATCTTTCTATTTTACATTTTTTTGGATTATTATCTTAAAAAATAGAGCTTAACAAATATCAAAAATATAGTACTACATGCAAAAAAATACATTTAAAGTAACTTTCAATGCACATATTCTAACATATATCCTAAATATATTTTTAACGTACTTAGAGGTGTATTTCAAACATACCTGGGTATGTTTTTATGATACTCTGAATATATCATGAATATACATCCCCGGATATATAAAGAAATATATATCATAGGATATATGTCACATATATTCCGAGATATATCATAAATAAATCCTGAAAAAACATTACCGGATATATCTCGAATATATCCCTAAATATATCCTGAGCATATCGCTGAGAAATTCCCGGATATATCCTAATATATATACTAAAGTATATATTCCAGAATATATGTAAGGATATATGAGTTGTGCATATATCTTCAGATATATCTTTGGGCAGATTTGAGTATATCTGGCATATATTCTAGCATATATAATCGCATATATGCTTTCATATATTTCCAGAATATATGCTAGGATATATATTTTTTCCGTGGGGGTACACCGGTATTTGATGGAGATTTAGTAGAAAACTCGATGTTTAAAATTGGAGTGAAATCAGTAACTCCCTTATTTCCGAAAATCATTAATTTTCGTAGGGAAAATTGGAAAAAAATAATAAGTTTGAAATTAAATCATTTAACAATGTGACAATAATTAAAACTATGAAAAATTAAACAATTTTTTGTCATTAATCTTTCCTCTTTAATTTATATCAATAATAGATAATAAAATATTTATATTCTTTTGTGATTGTTGGGTTTATAAAGAAAGATTATAAAACTGGAAAAAATTCAATGTCATCTGTCAAGCATTAAAGTCCCGAAAATATGGTCTGTGGCACTAGTCGTATAGTGCACAGAACAAATACAAAATGGCCACATTTATGTGTAACAGCGATGAAAAATGATTGATCAACTATTGTATTAATTCTTAGTTCTAAAGTAGAAAAAATAGATTATTTTCGTCAAGATCTTATCTAGTTTAATTTAACAGCATAAATTAAAAATAAAATTCAGTTTGTTAAAGAATAAAACGAAAAAATATAATTATGTCTCTTAGATAATATTTGTTTATTTATTTTATTATTACAATATTATCATTACCATAATTATTTACAAATAACAATAAATATCATGTGGAGCAAAAATTTCAAAATATAATTATTATAACAACATTAAAATAAATGCAAAATGCTTAATCAATAAAAAAAAATATATACGAAAAAAATTATTATTATCACATCTTAATAATTGGAACACTGAAACAATGAAAATGTATAAATTATTAAATTAACATATTTAATCATTCAAGTTCTATAGGTTCTATTTCCTTAATCTATAGGCATCATTAAATAAGAAATTTATTTTACAAAACTGAACGTTCAGATTCTTATAAAAATTAAGACGAGAGAAAATAAGATCTAGAATATATTTAATAACAATCAGTACGGTATCAAAATTTGTTTTTGTCTCTCTTTCTCTAACGTGATTTAGTATAGGGAAATCTTCTACGTAAACCAAATAAGGTTAGGTTTTGGGATTTGACTCTTGTAGTCAGCGTTATTTTTTCTCAATTTTCAAAAATTCATATCTCCAAGATTTTTGAAAATTAAGGGCTCAAAATTTAGAATTAGGTGTCTTTTTATGTGTACAAAAACATGTAAAAAATTGAACCGAATCAAAAAATATGATTTTTAAAATCAGCTGATTTTGGCATAGGATGACACATATAAAATAAACAAATAATTCATGTGCCTACTCAAATAAAAAGTCTCAATGAGCGCAACATCAGGATGAGCTTATATTTTCAAAAATTTAAATAATTAAAACGTAAAATTGTATTTTATACACTGTTGATATTTTCAGCAATATAAGCTCATCGTGACGTTGTACTTATCGAGACCTTTAATTTGAAAATTATCGACACAAATTTGTAATGTATTTTATATAATTCACAAATAGTAAAAATCAATATTTTATAATGATAGCAGTCTATTTTGTGCATATTTATGTGTAATATTTGCGGCATTCAATTTGTAATTTGATTTAAAGAATATTAATTAATTTTATCAGAAATATTTTTATTAGCTTTTATAGAAGAGAATTAGCTTAATAATGATAAGTTTTAATGGCCTAAAACTTTTCCTGCGCATCGCTATCATAAAATTGCGATTTTAAATTTCGACTTAAAATTTTACTTATTTTTTTTATTACACACATATACAAAATTTAATAAAATTAGTACTTACCTTTTATTTATGTAATTATTCTTCTTAGCTCTCAGTGTGGAAGTGCTACATCATTTCAGTCATCTTTTTATACAAAAATAAATATTGATAGTTTCGGAAAAAAAATTTTTTTTTTGTTTAATAGAGTATCAAAGGTTTTAGTTAAATTGATAGCTTGGAAATTTTATATAAGTCAATAAATCAAATTATTTAATATTTTAAAAATTAATAGATCAAAAAGTAATTAGAAATAATTATAAAAAAACTTTTTAATATGGTTAAATTTTACATAAGACTTTAAGATAACTATTGATAGGTAAATTTTTTCAAGTAGAACAAGATAATTCATTCGACACTTATGTAAAAATTCTTTAATGATAGACAGGAAGTCTCTGGGTTGTAGGGTAAATATAAGAATAAAAAATCAAATCAATTATGTTTAAATGACTAAAATATTTTATTATTTACAATCAAAAAATTTAATTTACATCACGTTAATATATTTACAATATGATTTACATACATACAATTACTGGCTCAAAAGTTTTAAATCTGTATCGCTCAAATAATTGAGAATATTTCTTATAACTAAATCTGGTAAATCCCTATACAAAATATTGTACAACTCGGTTGCATTTTTCAGTAGCTCTTTTCTCTCAACGGCTTTTTCTTAATTTTTCAATCATAATGCTACCATACACAGGAAATTTAGCTAATATTTCGTCTTCGTTAAAACAAAAGTTTGAATATCTTAATCCTACAGCTAATCTATGTACATTTTTAACTACTACATCGAAATAATTAAAATTAGTGTCACTTATTTTTCTGGTTTTCAATTCACTTATTTCCTTCTCGCACTTCTCACGGAACGATTTGAAATGCTTACTATCTACAGCTTTTGAATTTCTTTTGTTAACATATAAACCGGCTGCAGATAACTTGATGATGTGATCCTCGATCATTTTAATTATTTCCAAAGACTGATCCGCTCTTTCATGATGAAGAGTCTGGACGATATTTATATCCATGGCGACATCAAGCAAACTTGAGTTATTCTTGTCAACCACATTAACACTTACTCCACAGTCCAGTGAATATCGTAAAATATTCTCACCGCCGCACATAACAACTTGATAAGCTATGGTAACACCGTCCAAATCAGAAATGTCAAAAAAATTGTCACATTTTTTAACGATATGCTTGAAAAGTTCTATGTTGTCTTGCTCCAAAACGTCATTGAACTCTATAGTGTATTCCCTGTCCTTGATTATCTCGAACTTGACACCAAACTTCTCTAGAATTCGGACAATCTCATTATTGCTGATGCCTAATACAGCCAATTGTAGAGAAGAGCGCAGTTGGTTGGATCCTTGATCGATGATGGCTTTGTGCTTCAACAGCAATTCAATTACAGGAATATTCCTCAATAAAATTGCCAAGTTTAGAGGAGACCAGTTGCAGAACCCCAATGGTATTTTACGTTCATAAGGTACCAAGTTTACATCGGCACCTGACATCACTAGAAACTCGGTGATGTTATAGGTACCACTTTCAATGGCTTGGTGAAGTGGTGGCAGAGTTTCACAGAAGCGTAGCATTATGTTGATGTCAGCTCCGGAAGATACCAACTTCTTCACGACGTCGAGCTTCTTTTCGTTGATCGCAACGTGGAGCGCCGTTCCCAAAAATTGCGTGCCGATGTTTACGTCAACGTGATTTTCCAATAACAAGTCGATGAGTTCGTCACATGAGTTCACGATTGCAAACTGAAGGAGACTTATTTCTTTGTACTGATTCCAAGAAAATATTGAGTTAACACTTAAATTTCCGGATTTCACCAACTCTTGGATCTCTTTTAAATAACCACTGTTCACTGCCATTTTTGTACTTGAGTAGTAGAATAATAAACAATTGTACTTTACGAAAGTAAGGTTTTGAATTTGAAGATGTTTGCGCTTTGAATTCTAGCGTAAGAATGATTCGAGTTCTTGGGGCAATTCACAAGGTAACCTTTTTCGGCTCCCTTCTTCGAAAAATTTATTAGGGTCTTATCCCTCCTTCCAGTCTACCAGCGCTTGTCATTGGTTCTTCTACTTTTGTAGGGTCGAAGGAAATAGAAGTGGAAAGCCTATAGTCTGAGAGATTCTTAGTCAGGTCATATTTAGCAAATTATGTTAAATCATTTAATGACATTTTAATGACACCCTAAACGTTTTAGTATCTAGGTATGAAAAGAAATACTGAAAATTTTACTTTAGTTGTCTTTTGTCTTATTTATAATGCCAAAATAAAATCCCATTATTTATGATGCTGCAATGAATATCTATAAATGAGTATTTGAATTAAGAGATAATCTACTGTAATATATTTTTGCCAAAAATTCTTTTTCGCATTATATTTATTGATTTGGAAAATAAAAGAACCGTTTAACTGGACTCGGTGCTGATTAAATATTTTAATTGATTACTACTTATCTATTACACGCGTGGAAATAGTACTTGCTAAATAATGATGTGAAGCTTAGCAGTCACTCGGTCTTCATTTTTTTTTTTGAGAAGAGTACTGATAGTAAAACACTTCTAATAGCCGTACATAAATTTAGACGTAACTAGGTGAGAGTAAGGACACGTAGGCGTAGGTATAGACTAGGGCGTTTCAAAAAAAAAAAAAATTTTTTTTTTCTTCGAACCAAGCTCAAAAGTTTCGTTTAGATGCCAAAATAGGTCTCTGAAAATATGAGCCCTTAATATTAATATTAAGGTTGTCCGCCACGCACTTTTCGATTTCCCATAAGAATAACATAGGAAAAAAGTTTTTTTTTTTGTTCTGATTTATATAACTAATGAACCATCGATTGCTTTGAGATTTTGATCAAATATTTTTGTAGAAAATTGAATGCTCTACAAAACAGTTCTGATATCATTTTTCGATTACTCAACTCATTCAAAAGTTATTCAAGGTCAAAGTTAAATTTATTATCAATTTAGCCATTTTCTTCATAATCCGTCGAAATTAATTTTTTCTGATTCTTTTGTAACTTATGAAACATCCATTGTTCTGCAATTTTAATCAAATATTTTTGTAGAGAATTGAACGCTCTACAAAAAAGCTCTGATATCATTTTCGATTAATCAACTCATTCAAAAGTTATTCAAGGTCAAAGTTTATTTATTTCATTATTAATTTAGTCGTTTTCTTTATAATCCTCCGAATTTTATTAGTTTCAAGGTCTTAAAATGAATTGAAAGTTTATTTCTAAGGTTTTAGAATGTAAAAAAGTAAAACTATTATCTTTTATTATTAAGGAAGTACGAGCGTAACTAATGAGTCAAAATAGTGTTAAAATTTTTTTTTAATTTCACTCTTCCCAATATTCGTCAAAATTCTTTATTTTAATTTAAAATAATTTAAAAAATTTAATAATTGATGATTTTAACATATTTAATAAAGTAAAGGAATAAAATGACTTTGGTATTTATTACTTGCCGGAATAAATAAACAGATTTGGCAATAGCGCGCTTGATTATACCCATAACAGAGACGTAGATGAGTGTGTGAGTTAAACATTTCTCTCTCTGTAACTATATTTCTATCCTTTTCTTTTTTCTCAGCTGTTGACGCGATGTTGTCAAATCTTTATTCGAATAAATGGCTGACGATAAACAAGTTACAAACATAAAATTTGACTTTAAATATTTCAAAAATTATATCGGTAATGTATTATTATTAAATTGTTTTTATATTTTGCAATAATCCAAGTTTCTTGTGTATAGTTTTTTATCCGTTAAAGTTGGGAAGTTAATATTGAAAAAAATAATTAAAGTCTTGACAAAAGTTTGTCCGCCATAAGAGCCCGTGTATAAGGAGATAAAATATGTGATTTTTAAAATTTAATATCTAAGTTACTAAACGGTGAATCTTCTTTAAATTTTGGGATGAGATAAATGACGTATTTATTTATACGTATATTTAATTTCAAAGCTCAAAGTTGGAAATTATTTTTTACATTAGATACGCTCGTACTTCCTTAAAGGTTGCTATTATGCAATTTTATTGAAAAATCATTTTCAAATAGATTGCACATAAATGACAATTTTAAAGTAATATTTAATGCGCGATATCCAGTGGGACCGTTATCGCGATATCAAGCGAGATATCCAGCGAGACCTTCAGCGCGACTTCCAGCGAGGCCGTCAGCGCGATAACAAGCAAGATATCCAGTGGGACCGTCAGCGCGATATCAAGCAAGATATGTAGCGAGAAGACCAGCAAGATCATAAGCGCGATATTCAGCAAAATTTTCTGCGTGCTATCCAGCAAGACCCTTAGTACAATATCTCAGAAAATTACCAACGTGTTTGTCTGCGAGGCCGTGGGTGCGTGTGCAATTTCAAAATATTTTTTTTTCCACTATCCTGAAAACATGCTATTACAACATCGTCGAGAGTTTGCTGAATTTAGCGTCATCATCAGCATTTGTTTAAATATATTTTTATCTTGGTTTAGCAATCCGATTTTTTTTTTACTATGCTACTGGCTTCAGGTGCTTGCGAGAAACAAAACAAATTCATTTTTTTTTCAACCAATCAGAGAACTTGGCCCCGCCTATCTTTTTTCTTTGTCTTTTAACAAAACCAAATTCCTGGCCCTAAATATTACTTTAAAATTGTCAAATTAATAATAATAATAATAATAATAATAATATTAATAATAATAATAATAATAAGAATAATAATAAAAGAATTTTTTATTTAATACAATGAATTAAATTACTTATAACGACTTATGACTTATAATGTAGAATAACAAAACGTATTTTGTTTATGTTGAATAGAATTATATTAATACTTCTTTGTATACTATATTTCTTGTTTTTTCTCCTTCTGCTAAAATAAATAAATCT